TTTAGAAATAACCGAAACCGCACCGAACCGAATCGCGGCTTTCATGTATATATGAATATGTATATGTAGGTATAACATGTAATGTATAAGTTGTTGCAATTCCTCCTGCACATGAATTCGTAAACAACTGCGGGATTCTGTCAGACTTTGCCGAAAAAGGCTCCATCATCTCCAGGAAGTCTTTTCTCTTGGGCTCCAGGAGGACTGTGACTGCAGCCTGCCACTCCAAACCAGGCTAACACCATGCCAGCACTCAGCGCGACCGCGGGCCTGGATGTAGCGGGCCCCGTAGAGGATGTAGAAGCAGCGCAAGTCAGACCGCATGATCAAGTGCTCCCCTGCAACCAGCTTTTGACACTTCGCAAAGGGCATGCTAGAAGCAAAGTCCACAGAGTGCACGAAACCGAGCAGTAGAATCAGGGAAGTAGACTATCCGTAAATGATTGGTCTGCACGCGGTATGAGTGCAAGCGGTGAGGGCGGCGGTGATCCAGTGGTGGAGCGGTGGAGGCCGCGGTGCTAAGTGGTGGAAGGCGTTGTAGTCCTGGTAGTCGCCACGGTGTGGTTGCTGTGGCCAGCATTATATTTGCAATAATCAAAACGCCGCAGAATGGTCTCAGTACTCATCGTCTTAAATACAGTAAGAGGCGCAGAAGAGCGGTGACTAGCCCCTGCTGCTGTGGTCATAGAAGCCCCCAAGAGAAACAATCGGCACAAGTAGCAATGGCTCAAGTCACTGACAGAATCAAGCCGCAGCTGCAACTCGCATCTTATGTATAATGTACATGTTTGCAGCACGGGCATCATTTCCTTGTCAAATTCGAAGCCTTTGGAGGTATGCAAACCAGCCCAGAAGATAGCAGCGGATACCAAGACCCTGATAGGACGCGCACACACGCGCACACACGCCCGCATCCATTTCTACTGTCATTCCTGCTACCAAGCCTGCTTAGCCTGCCACTCTAAACCCCAACCCCAAGCCACCTCATAACTCGCCAGTATAGTACCATTATACTGCGGGAGTTTTCATTATGGGTTCAGGGCTTAGGGTGATAGAGGTTCATTGTTTACAATCCTGCACCCTAAACTGTGTGATTCCCGGGCACCGCTGTCGAAGCCCCGCCACCAATTGGCCGAGGGCCAAGACCAAGGCTGTGCTGGGACCTCAGAAAACGATATTGGACAAGAAAATGACAAAATGCTGCTGGAATATAGTATAGTCCTTATTATAGGGGCCCCCGAAAAGGTACCCCTAATTTTGGGAAACCCTAAACCCTATAAATCCCTATATAATCCCAGTTTCCACCACAACAAAACCTTGAAGCTGGTGCTGGACCCGTAACCGCCAACTCCAGGCGGAAGCCACATCCAAAGCTACAACTTTGCTGGCAGCCCTGAACCCTATCAGACTTCTAGGGGAGACTTATCTTTTGGAATTTATAGGAGCCTGACGTATACAGCTACCCTCCTACAAGTATCTTAATCATGATCGTCATCTTCTTCTTCAGACTCATCATGATCTATTTGCCCAAAGTCACTAACATGACGGTAAAGCTTGACAATGCTTGTCTGGAACTAGGGGCTTAGGAAACCAATTCAAGTATGAAGTGGATTGGATTAAAACCGACAGCAGCGTCCATGCTGGACCACTCTCTCCCGAGGAGCAATGGAGATTCCAATGATGGCGAAGGTGCCGTATATTATTGCCTCGATAGCACAGCAAACTGCAGCTCAAACATGCTCAAACAAAAAGCTGCATGCACAGCAGTTTTCCAGCTACTATGGCAGGCAGGACAAGGTCACATGCATACCTCCCTGAAACCTTGCGTCAGTAGTGGTCGTCATCCCTGCCACCCAACAGCGGCCTCCAGGACAGACTGCGAGAATTTTACTAGCCTCAGCACCGTGGAGGACTTGCAGATGTGAGAAGCAAGGTTTACTGTCACAGCCGTGTCTGGAATCATCATGGGAGTTTCAAGACTTCTCTTTAGATGTGCTTTCAAGCTTTGATGCTTATGCCCCTTGGCTCCGTGCTAGCTGCCTTGAAGGCCCATGTCAAAATTAAAGCGCGAGCTCCGGTTTAAACAGCTCTGCATCAGGCTCCCGCGATGGCAGCAAATTACGGGTAACTTCTTTTGAAGCTGTCCGTCTGATGAGTTTGGTTTACAGCTGTAACATAACCCAAAACCTTAAACCCTAAATAGTAGTTTCCATTTTCTTTTCCATTATCCCTATATGACCCCAGAATTCTATCTATCTACTTAAGAGGGACTATACAAATTCTGATTCACAGTCTGGTCAATGCCGCCAAGGTGGCGTGTCCCCGCGGATGCCCACGGCCAGTCGAGCGAATGGCTCAACCACTGCAAGCCGCAGAGTCCAGTTCATCAAAAAGATGGCCAGGACAAAGAACACCTGTTTGGGGTTTAGGGTTTAGGGGTGACGGCGATTGCTGTGATTGCTTCGTTTCTCCTCACTGGCGGATGCTGTCAAGTACACTGTTTCGCTCTACGTCCACTTCGATAAGAGCGGTACTTGTTGTGACGGTGGCGTGTGGTCTGCAGAGCCAGTGATAGATTTGTAGTTCGAACTGCTGCAGCATCGGGAGAAGACGACAAGCAGATTCTAAGCCCCAGGCTACCCAGCTGTCCTTACATCAGCTAATAATTCCATGGCCCTCACAAAGCGCTCAAGCCATATCTCAAGCCCGTAAGCCCTACCTGCAAGACCATACATGCCCAACATGACCCCAATCCCCTAGGCCCTATGCCGATACCCTATTACGCCGGCTTAGTCTGGAACCTTAAGCAGTAACCCCGGAAAGCTTCAACGACAATCCCTGACCCTGAAGCCTATAACCTAGAACCCCATCAAATGGACTATCCAACATGCGCCAAGAAACCAAGACATAAACGTCTCTCGGCAGCACTGGAGGGCCCTACCAGGCGACTTCGGGCGGAGTTCGGGCTTCTAGTGTGTAATCGGATCGAGTTTGAGGCTCAGTTTGAGTGCTTAGGTTTGAGGATATAGGCTTTGGTTTAGGCCTTGCAGCGGGGTTTAGAAAGTCGAGTGTAGGGTTCAAGGATATCTGGGGATGCTGGGCTCTTTCCGAACGATCCCTTTCCTGCGCACGGCAGTCTTGTTGCAGAATTCTCAAATCCGCCACCCCACCTACATCGCACGCGAAGCCGTAGTGCAATACAGAAGCTCTCTTGCCAAAGCTCACAAGATGGGTCTCAAAGCTGGAGCGCGCCAATACATTTCCAGTATAAAGTGGACAGGAAGAATGCATCCACAATAATTATAAGCACTACCTGACAAAGGGCCATGAATTCAGCAACCCCAAAATTGCAGGAAGTCAGAATTCCATACGAACTATTCTCCAAATTTTGTGGGTCTGCAGGACCTCTTCTTAATTCGAAAAGGTGTTGCCTGCGGCAGGGCATTTCTGGACTCCGCTGGGCCAAAGATGGAGGTGACCAGACCTTTCGGTTCAAAAGGGATTGTGAATTCGGGTTCACGATTTCAGGTTTAGTTTTTTTTTGTGGGAACTTTTCTTCAGAAGTTTCTGGAGGGTTTAGGGTCTAGGGTTTAGGGGGCGTCTGGCTAGGCTTCACGGATTGGGGGTTGGGCTTAAGGTTTAGAAGCTAAGCGATCGACCTGCGACAACCACTCTAGGTTTTTTGCTGAGCCAATTTGGAGGCACAAGCCCAAAACCATGTATGATTTACAGGTATTGTTTATTTAACGTTGCATATGGTTTTAAGCCTCATTTTGCCTGCTATCATCCAAAAGCAACAATGGCTGCTGATGGCTGCTGCTTTTTACTGCTGCTGCAGCAGAAACAACAACAACTACTGCTGCTAGTACTGCTATTATGAGTAGTAGTGATGAGCAAATATTGCGATCTACCCGAAGCTGAATGCAAGGTGGCCTGTCAGCAGAATGGTCACTTCTGTCTTCGTTGCTTCCTGCGCGCTGCGGTTTGGGGGTGTAGTGGGTTGGGGTTCAGAGGGGGCTTCAGTTTTGGGGTCTCCTGTTGGAGAATCTGGTAGCAGAAGCCCAGCAGCAGCAGGAGGATCAGGATCATGGCCCATGGAATCCCCTCATCACTGGACTTCTTTCCTCAGGCAAACCAAGCTGAGTTCAAGATCTGCACCAGCATGTCTCAATATTGACTTTCAAGTTCCGCCGAGACAAGACCATGATGATTGAGAACGTGCGAAGCTATGAATATCACAGTTGCAAAGAACCTTACGGTGGGTTGACCCGGGCAGCCTGACCACAAAAGCAAACTGACTTTGGCATCAGAATATAGACCCCGCCCAATATACTATATATAATCATCTATAATCCTTCTTATATCTATATATAGTCATCTATAATAATCATCTATAATCCTTACTATATCTTATTATAGCCCCTAATTTTGGGAGACCCCCCGGCAAGGCACGTCGGTTGCCAGCTTGAGCTTCCGCCATGGCTCCAGGCAAGAGACGTTACTCGAGCAAGCTGAGCGTCTTAAGGGGAATGGCATTGGACAAGGACTCAACAATAACAATAAAAACAACAAACATACAGTAGTACTATAATTCCTAATGACAGTAATAGTAATACTATCCTTTTAAGAAGATGATAACAAGGTCTGTTTCTTGGACTCCTGGTGGGGGGGCTATTGGCTGCGTAGTGACAATAGTGGAGTCTTCACTTCCGGCCTGCAGCTACTGCTTCTAGGCGCAAATTCGCGGCAGGATGAGTCTGCTACTCGAAATCTGCAAACTGCTGCACAACAGCTGGCTCCTGCATTGCGTTGACTGTGATATTTTCGTGTTGCTGGCTGCCATAAGAAAGACTACAAGAATACTGGCACAATATTGACTGATGACATATCTGGTTCTCGTACTATCATGATGGCTCTGTCTGGCCGATTGTTGTTACTCTGGTCAGAACTGTTCTCTCTTTCAAGGTGCTTCGACTCTCCGAACCTCCTCGAATGGGAAGACAACGTCGAAGGACACGCAGTAGTGCTTCCGAGCCCCTGTACCGAAACCTCAGTCAACTAACGAGCGTGACAGAACCCTAAAGCCGAAGCCCTCAACCCTAAACCAAAGAAGGCAGATCGGAGCTTACTCAGGTAGACCCCGTCCCTCCGCAACCTCTGCGTTTGCTCCTGCAGCAGGCTATGTGCAGCCAAAGAACCACAGGGGTAGTAGGCCACATCAGTTCCTGGAAGTCAGCTGACGGTAGTGACTTTGTCGTGGTAAGTAACAATGGAGCCGTCGTGGCAGCAAAATGACACAAACAACCTCGGATATCCTCCAAATTCCACACCGAATATATGCACTTACAACTATTCCTAGGAGACCCTATGGCACCATAATCACAAACCTTACTTTAGTTGCACACCCTCTCAGGCCAGGGCCTTCTCGGGACCAGCCAATCCCGAACTCTTCCATTCTCCGTTTGGAGAATAAAACAGGTTGGCAGCCGTCATCCTCGGGGGGAACTCCAAGCTTCCCCAGGCCCCAGAACAGCAAGGCATGGGCTTCTGTTTGAAAAGGGCTGAGGGAGTGGGCATGCGCTCTACCTGCACCTGCCTCGGGGTCTTTAGGGCCGTTGTGGGGGCTGAATTGAAGTTGGTCTTCCATGGGCAAACGTGAAGCCTTGGGAAAACTGCAGAACAATCCGAGCACAAGTCAGCGCCGGACAAAAAGACTTCCCGGCTTCACCAAATTCGTCAGGTGAAATGTGTAGGGCCTGACACAAGTTCGGGTACGAGGCACCGGCTGCAAGAAGATGTGCGTCACTGGGGCACGTGCAAACCGACACACATGTTCTTCACCCGGAAACAAAACCTCACTGGCAGGCAGAGTTTCAATCCTCTTTGACCTTCTTTTTCCGGCGGAAATGCGACTGGGAGACCACTGTACATAACCACCTCCGGCATCAGAAAGAAGCTGTACCTTCGCATCACGAAGAATGTTCGTGCTCTCCAGCAGTCGAAGCGCAATTGTTATCCAACTGTGAGAGTTTCGCGAATTGGGGACCCCGCGTGCCCCCCTAAAACAACATAGCTATCATCAGGAGGATCCCAAAAAGTGACCCATCATCTTCCCCTAATGCAGAGGATGCAGAACGATGTGATGTGCGTAGCTGCCTCGTACTCACGCGCCATCATCCGTGTTACCGGACCCAGGCCTCATAGTAGGCACTTGAGCTTTCCAAACTTGGGGAAGGAGGGCTTCAATTCGACAGACAGCAGATGATAGAGAGGTAGTTTCCCAAAACTGTGCGGGCTCCTTGCTGCGTTTGGAAGTCAGAAGCCCCGAAGCAATAGTGAGCCCTGCTTTAAGGCGCCCCGATATCCAGAACTACCACATCCCGTCCCTACAATTGCCAAGCTCATGGCTTCCACATTCGAAGTCGGCGTCGAAAATCAATGCGGGAACTTCCTGCTGGCGAGGAATTGCGTATGGGCTCATCTCAATGTACTTGAGGCACAACAGATTACTACTAAACTTCCATGACAGTGTCAAAGGCCTGTCTTTTTGTTTCGCGAGCTGCTCAAATTTCTGCGGAACTTGCTTGAACACGAGTTGGGCGCATCGCAGCTGTCGCCCAATATGACTGCTGCGTAACCAGCCTTCACAACATGCTGAAAGCAATTCACGTGTCACCCGTCGTGCTTACCATTGAGCACAGCTTCAAAAAAAGGCATTGCAGCTGTTGCTTAACAATGCTGAGCGCTGTAAAACTTTCCCGCTAGTGGCATAGCCTGATGAATTCCACATAGGCAAAAATATGCAGTACGCATGACCTGACTCTGCGTTTCTGTGGACTGCATAAAGAACAGGAATCTTTATTTACTAGTCATATCAACCCAGCGTGGCCAACAGCTGAGGATCCCAAGCCCTCCTCCGCCGTCAGGGCCATTGAGTTGCTCCGCGCCGGTGCCACGGAGCGAATCTGTGGCGAGCTTCAGTCAGGGGTTGTAGGGATCGCAGGACCAGGATGAGGAGGCCGAGAGGAGGAGGGGGGGAAGGGGAGCAGCAGCAATGGCGGCGGCAGTGGCAAGCGCAGCAGCAGCGGCGGCGGCGGCAGCCGTAGTTCTGGTGGTGGCCGTAATTGGAAAGGAGAAGTAATACATTACATGTTTAATAGGTTCAGAAACCCGAGGGCAAGTCCTCACCTTGCACAAGGCATAGGTTCTTGGGGCCGATCATGAACATGTGAGAAACATGCCGGTTTGGTTTTTCTTGAGTAGCCGAAAAGTGCACCCTAACATCCGCGCGGGGCGCGAGCCTTCCAAATCTCCAGTCGCCGACGTAAGGCAGAAGCGCCTCGAACTCCCCACCCTAAACCCCAAACCCTAAACTAAACTCCAAACCCCACTCTGAAGCTATATTCCTTCGACTCTGAGATACTCTGAGTTCCTATTTGGGAAATCCTTGAAGCGTTTGGCGGGAGTTGTCAGGGGACTGCTAGTCTGGATTCAGAGACTTCCTTTCCTGAAATGCAGGAGCTCTTGGTAAATCGCTACCGGAAGAGGCCTTCTCAGTTTAGGCTTGAGGGCTTGGGTTTTGAGCACTGGCAGTCAGCTTTTTTGTTTTCATAGCAGATCCTGCATAACACTTCCAGCTACAACTCCTGCGGACTCCTACAGCCTGGAACTACTCTTACTACCTACTCGTGACAGGGTTTTCTGGTCATCAGCCTGAATCTATTCTTGCATAGGTCTGCTAAGTTTGCTGGCATGCTGCTGGTAATGTGCTTAAGGTATTCCCTAATGAGGACCCCCATAATAATCGTCCATGAGCACTATATTTCTCCAGGACCCGACCTGTTTTGGGGAACTCCCATGTGGGGATCCATCGATTTGAGAGCCCAGCAAGTCGCTGCGCCATAGGTGGGCTGGGGTAGCCGTGCCGTCTGCAGCTCGGCCTGGCTTTAGCTTTCAGCACAGTAAAGGGTTTTGGGGTTAGAGTTCAGGGGTTGAAGCTCAGAGTTTAGGGGGCTCAGATTCAAAACCAGGAGAAATCTATGGATGGGGTGCAAAGATCCACTATCTGGTCTGGTTTACACTAAAACATGCTGTCGAGTGCTACTCTGGGTTCATATGGTCACCCTCCAACATGCTTTTGAGGTCGTGCACGCATTCTCCTACTTAGAAACACGTCATACGCTTGTATCGAAACGCTGACAACACTGCAAAGAATGGCTGAATTGCTAGATTCCCTAAACAGGGGGCCCCCAGTATAGACCCCAAAATACAATATTCCTCACATTACGACCCCAAAAAGGTACCCCTAAATTTGGGAAACTCCCGCTTCTCACATGATGTGCATATGCTGCAACTCCGAACTTTGTGTCCTCGAGGGTGCGCTTAGTAACTTTGCTTTTTTGGTACACCTGAGAAGGCAAGAATATACACCGGAGGTCCTGCGCCTGACTGAAGACTTCCTTTTTTTGTTGGTACCTCCTCAGGTTTCGACAGCATGTTCACCTCCAAATTTTGAGTTTTTGGTACTTCCTCAGGTTTGGGCAATAGTTTGCTTGAAATCCTTGCAAAAAAACTGAGGATGTATCAAAATAAATGAAAAATCTTGAGACCCCGATGTTGTGTTGCTACCTCCTCAGGCTGTTGCAAACCTTGATAGCCAAAATAGTGCCAAACCTCAGCAAGTGCCAAAAGACCAGTTTTCCAAAACCTGAGATGTCAGTAGGAGCTCCTGTAGACCGGAATCCTACCGAAGCCTGGGAAATCCAAGAAATCAAGAGTTCGGTATCTCATTTTCGAATAAATTTTGTTAAAGAACACAGCATCATGCAGAGAAGCTCAGCAACCCAGGACCATTCAAATTTGAAGCATCTTTAGTACAGGGGGTTATGCAAGAAGAACGCCCAGGAAAGCAGACTTCCCCTTTACGCTTGAAGCATGTTTCGTAATTGATTTGCGTAAAGAAAAACCAGATTTCTCTGTAGATTTCAAACATATCACATAAGCAACTAAATTTTCAGAGCAAAAATCACGAAAATGAGAATCAAGGCCCAGGATGCTAGAGCACCCATCAACACCTGAAACTCTGGTGTAAGGTCTGAAGCCTTGAGAAATATGAGAACCCAGGATCTGAGAATTCCAGAGGAATTCGAAAGGCACGTAGGAAGAGAGAAGTACATCAATAAAACCAGGAACCCAGGATCTAAGAATTACCCGTTAGATTTGAAGCATCTTTAGTCAAGGGTTTATGTACAAGAATCAAGGCCAGTGAGCGGATTCGTCCAGAGTTGTTCGGGTTTCCTCGTCCACACACGCCAGAAATTGTAGATATGAGACTAAACGCTGTTCAAATATGGATCTTTGGGCGGGAGGGCGAGCGCATATACATGCACTCCGCAATCTATGAAGGGCCACAAGCCGAACCACACAAACAACACCAAGCACTGAGTGCCTGCCAGACTGTCTCGGCGCTTGGCAACGACGGGGCCTTGACCGATAATTAGGACATAATTTTGGTTGTCTTGTGGTGGGGCTGGGAGTTTAGATATAAGATGGGTGTTGTTACCTTTCAAGAAGTTCTGCGCCCGCTTGTGCAAGGCTAGGGGGAACTTTCTGCAGTTCCTTGGTGAATTAAGGCGGGAATGTGCAAAACTTGCCCATCGTTTCAGATCTGATTCTTCAGCGACTTCCGGTTTCGGGTCGCAGCGTTTGGGTTTAACATGGCCATCGGCCCATCCCCCCTTCCCATGTAGTCCCCCTAATTAGATAGGATATGTCATATGTATTTGGTCAGTATCATAATAAGACCCCCATGCACTCCATATGGTAGTTTCCCAAAAGAAGGGTACCCGAATATGGACCACAACACACTACAGTCCTTATTATGGGGACCCCCAAAAACGGTACCCCTAATTTTCGGAAACCTCCATATTCTGCCAACTTCAGGATTGTCTAAACTCCTAGTATCCCCTTAATAATCCCTATGGTAGTCCCCTATATAATCCCCCATATAAACCCCCCCCTTAAGGAGTTTAGACTATATCTCATATGTATTTAGTCAGTATCATAATAAGACCCCCATATACTCCATATTCTGGCAACTTCAGGAGAACCATACACTGAAAGCGCTTGCCAAGGTCCAGACTTTGAAGCGGAAGCTATGGGGGTCTGTAGATGGACCTCAGCAAAGGTGGGGGTTTCCCAAAATTAGGGGTACCTTTTTGGGGGTCCGCATAATAAGGACTATAGGATTTTTGCGTCTATATTGGGGTCCCCCCATTTTGGGAAACTACCTCGTAGAGTGGGGCCTAGGGGTCGCACAAGGCACCACATCATGTATTGAAAGTGGAAAGCGCACCCTACCCACATGAAGTGTTACAATACAGTACCCCTTATTTCGGAGCCGGGTTTGGGGGACCCTGATGTTTCTGTAGTCTGTTGCCTTCCTCTTGATTTCAGCGCTGGCTTCGGACCAGACTGCCAGGATGTACCACTGCATGGCTCGCGTTCGGTCTATGAATGCCTTACTACTAGTAGCAGCAGATGTAGGAGGAGAAGCAGCAAAAACTGTGTGCTAGTAAGAACAAATAATACTGCTAGCAGTAGTCACAATACTAGCAGTAATGGCAGGACGGGATGTTCTGGCCAAGGTAATCCAAAGGACGAGGATTGGACAGTTCTCCGAATTAAGGTTCGATGACAGCTTTTGTGACACAGCGTTCCGGCTGCCCAGATTCAGGCACACAGTACCTTCGGCATCAACTGTGGGGAAACCTCTTCGGTGAAACTTGTGGAACACACATCGACCCAGTATTCCGGTGGTAGCCGGGGCTTGATGTCTATGCTTTAGACTTCCAAGGCGATGTTGCTAAGCTAAGCTAACCTAACCGCGCTTCTCACGTCCTTTGCAGCTCTGCAGCTTGCCGACCTCAAGCAGGGTCGAGGTCCAAAATCGTTTCTTGAATGGCAGGATCTGCCTCATCGACTTGCGCTGAGGTCATGGAAGGACGTTACAACCTCAGCACGGAAAGCTTCAGCTTGCCTACATCTGCAAAGCCTGGCTTAATGGGCCTAATGACTCCCATCATTTAGAAGGCTCCGGCAGATTTCAAGAACGGCACATACTCGACCTTATCGAAGTCAGCATCCGGCAAAACATAGGACCTGAGGCTGGCTTGTTCTCATTGGGGTGTTCATTGAAAGCGGCCAAAACTGAGGCAACTACACGCACCGCTGCACGTCCTGACAGCGAATGGGGCATCATGCATCATGCGCCTTTGAGGACCCGCTGACGGCTTTGGCTTCGACATGGGTCCTCTAGCGAGAATGTCTTACCGATGGTGTCCAATGCTTGGACAATCTGTTCGCAGGTCACCGTGTTCTCATGCGTCAGGTGTGCGAACTCCTCGGTCCAAGTGGGTGCAACAAAGTCGAAGACCCTGTAGGCTGACAAGGGCCACCACCTTGAGGAGACGCATGAAGTTGGCATTGTGCCTGGTCGCGGCGCTTTTGCTGAGAATGGCCACCAAAAAAAGTCCAACCAAAAGTGAGGTTGGACCGAGCCACTTGTACACGACGTCTCCCATGTTTCTCACCGCAGCCCGGATCTTCTCTCTTTCGCCTTGCTCCTCCAGCTTTGTCCTGCGTACATGGCATCTACGACGCGGGAACCTGAAAGGATACAAACTCATTTTGAGGGCATGTGTCCTGGCCAGCTGAGGGTAGTCCCCAACTTCCTGGCAGGAGCAAGGGTGTTGACAGAGCGCTGATACGCACCCAAATAGCAACTGCGAAGCGGGAGATCTAAAACAAATTTCTCAGCTTCATGCCAACTACTGCAGGGTGGTAAGATCATGGTGTTTGTGGCGAATCTCCTCGATCCCTTCTAGAGGGCTGGGAAACTCTCAGCTAGTGAAGCGCCTGGTTTAGCTTCGGCCGCTGCTTCATCATGACCTGGCATCTTCCCAAATGTCCACTGCAAACCAGACTTCAGATCCTGAGGAAATCCTAGCATGAATATGAACATCACAGCAATGAGAGCAATAATCAACAATGAAGATCAGATAAGAGCACTGGCTATCACAACCCAACAACTCCACATGCTGTCGGGGTGCATGTGTGTAGTCCTCATCAATGAGGGTGTCGCAGAATTCGTTGTAGCTGATCTGGCCGTCCTGCTGGGGAAGCTCTCACCCGTGTATACGGAAGCCTTGTCATATGCATCATCTGTCCTAAAGCCCCTAGAACATGAGAATGTGCTCGTTGTGGAGTCCTACAGCCACTGTTAGATACTAGCTAGCTTGCATGGCGATGTCAACATTCCTTGCTTTTCTTCCTCCAGGGATGCCAGCAAGCAACACAACCACTGCTTCTTATTCTGCGCGCGTTGTAATGAGGTGAGCGGTGAGCAATCGTTTCTACCACATTGCTCTGTGCAGGAATGCCCAGGAACCGGATCTGGACACAACACAGGTCGGCTGGCCTTGAACAGACACATGACACATTGGTCGGATTTGTTCTTAAGTTGCACGAAGATTTCCAGGGTCCTCGTAAAAGTGGTGCAGCGATGCATCATGGTTTGGATTGCAGGAGCGAGGTCCAGAATCTGGAGTCCCTCTTGCGAAGCAATGACAGTAGTGCTGAGTCCGAACTCCGACCAGGTTGCGCAATATGTCCGACAGCTAAACCCTCAAAAGTACTTGAAGGACCGTCGCCAACACATGACCGAACGGAGGCATGTCAACCCAAATCTATGAAGCCACAAAGAAGCTTGGGAGAAGTAAACCCTAACCCCTAAACCTTAACCCCTAAACCCTAAAACGCTAAAAACCCTAAACCCCTAAACCCTAAACCCTAGTACCCCTGCGGCTCCTTGCGTGAGTCGAAGGCCTTCATGATGATCAAGGCCTCCTCCTCTGTCACCTGAGCTGTTGTCTACGCTCCTAGTATCCCCCTTAATGTCCGCCATAGTAGTCCCCTATAGTTTAGGGTAGGGTTTAGGGTTTAGGGTTTTAGGGTTTATATATAATGCCCTAGATAATGCCCTTTAAGGAGTTTAGACTGCAGCTCACCTGAAGGCGGAGATTTGAATCTGCCACTGCACCAAACGCACGCAACCACCAGCATTCGCTAAGGATCTTACTATGGGCCCTGCAAAGCCCCTATGCAATCCCTATATATTCCCTATATAACCCTTATTCAATCCCTATACACAGAAAGGCAGTCAGGAACTTGCCTGGAAGCCCCACTTGATCAAGGCATTCTTGAACTCGCTCTGTGTGAGGACCTGGGTCCCAGTCTGTCGCCGTCACTACGAAGTCAACGCCATGACACTGTTGACCTCCCAGAATTATTCCTACCATAATCAATAGCATCATACCACCATTGCTATGAGGTTCAGCTTGTACATGTCTTGTCAGCACAAGCTGTGGCTGCCACACCATCGTGATCGGCATCGAACTTCCGGAAGATGTCGCGGGCCAGAGGATACTGCTGGCGCATGCCTCAACCAGAGGAGTTGGAGATCCATGTCAGGGCATATGAACGCGGCCTGCAGAAAATGCTGTCAAGGACGGCTAACTGGGAACTCTGCAGTCCTTTCGGCCACATATTCCGTGCTACAAGTAGAACCGACCCGATTTCATGGGCACGCTGCTGCCCGTTAGCGGACCGTTTCGCTGACATCTTTCGTGCCAGAACCGACCCAAGTCAAACATATGTTGCTGATGCTGATGATGTTCATGATGCTGCGGCGGGTTGGGCCCTCAAGAGACAGCCAATGCAGCTGATGCTCAGGAAGCTCATGATGTAGGGGGGCAGTTTGGGGCTTTGGGAGTTTTGGAGCGAACAAAGGCCAGCCTCATGAGCATCAGCGACTGCTCTTTTGACGGCCCTTTGGACGACATGTTCCGCGCTAGAGCCGACCTGACTCCAGCACCAGCTACCATCAGCTACCGCCCCTTTAGATTGTGCTTTGGCCGCCAGTACCGACCGACTTCTGCCGGTGCCCTTTTGAAAGCATTTTGCCTCTCCATGAGAACAAGAAAGCACCACCTAACAGCAATTTATCACTGCCATGAAGTTTGGTAATGATAGCGTTTGAAATAGCAACGACATTGGTCAGAAGAATAGCATGACCCTGAGCGCAATACGGACAAAGCCAACAACAGCACTAGGTTGACGGAACAGGTGCCTTCTCGAAGCTTCTGGAGAACTGCCTCTAAGTCAAAGTGTCTCTTGACACCGCCCTCCTCCAAATACTTCCTGCAGCAGTTCTTGGGATTCGGGAAGTCAGGGTCGAGGGCTCAAGGCTTAGGGCTCGTGACAAATGAAGCAGAAACTTAGCAAACACGCCCCGTAGCTCCAGTCCCATGATTCGCCTAAACAAGGGCTGCTAGGTGTCCAGAGTCCCTCAGTCCTCTCGTTCGCTAGTGCTGCCCAGAGCTCAGCAGAACAGCAAGGCTTCCAGGGGCTTCAAATTTGAATCATGTAGGTGCAGCCAACCTGGTATAGTCGTCCATGTCCAAGATTTCAAACTCTCCTCAGCAAAGATGGGAGCTTTTGACTTTCGGCATTTGTCCAAAGGTCCACCTGTACAAAGCGGGACACGCGCTTCAACGGAAGGGCTGACATCAGCAGTGGCTCGGTTGTACACCTTGATGACGTTGCCGGGCATGAAGTCGTCTACCTCAGGAGCAGGAAGCTGGAGCTCAAGAACTCTCAGGTCTTGTGCTGGTTGCTCACAACTCCATGCCTGTGATTTCGCGTGGTCGCTGCTACTCCCATCGCTCTAACAAGCTGCTACCTTGCTGCGAAAACTTGCACAAGGATCAATGTTCTGCATCAGCCGTTTTGGGAAAACCCTCTCCCCACTGCACCCCCTCTCCCCCCCTCGCTCTCACTGAGGCCGCCTTCGAGGCATGGCCACATGATTGCAAGTGGATGCTTCTCACAACCACTGTCATGCATCATGCTGCCCGTCTGAAACCATCCTTTGAAGGACCTAACCAATAGCCTATATAGCGAGCTGAGCGAATTCTTGGGAGCCAACCTTGAAGAGAGCACCAGTCTCCTGAAGAAGGTCTGTTCATCGGTGGTGGGGCTACCATGGAAGCCCTGCTTAAACTCTCAACCCTCGATGAAGGCTGCGGATCTGCCCTGACTGTGTCTTCATCGTGCGAACGGGCAACTCAACAGAGTTGTGAACCCTTGCATGCTATGTGCTATCTTAATAGTTCATTCAAGCGGTTCCCGCAGTGAACAGGAGTGGCGGTAGTGGCACTTTTAGCGGTAGTGGCTGCAAGACTGGCAGCCGTGGCAACACATGATAAGCACGCTATCGAACTCCGAAGCTCAAGCGTACAGAGAACTTTGTAGTGCTGACAATACTGGCTACCGACATACGTGTTCCCTATCTGCCTTGAACTACCTCGATCCAAGGCCCTGACAAACAAACAACACAATAGTTGGCGTTCAAGCCTTCAGACCTATTTCGGATCCCCTTTCGCCTGGTTCAGGTGGATGCTCTTCTCCAGGAACTTACCGGTGAGGATACCTGTCCCAGCTCAAGGATAGTTTGCATTTCACAAGTACACATGTCATACACTTTGACTGCTATTTCTTTAGCTCTTGTCCAGTTACAATTACTTCCATTGCCAGCTTCATCATGTCATTGAAACGCCCAGTTACTAGCGTTCCTTCCGTTGTCAGGATTTTTTATGAAAGGAGCCTTTGTCAGGTCTCATGTCAATGGTACTATTGCTGCTCTTATCAGCTACTGTTGGAGATCCAGCCCAATCAGTTAGCACGGCATTAATTGCTATGTCTTTGTCGTGCTATATTCCTGGCGGACTCAATCGATGGTTCATGACCGCTTGAACCGCTCTCCGACCCTGGACGTCAAATTACCACACAACAAACCTGTCAACGGAAAGCCTCGTAAACAACTCCCCAGCAATTGCCATCAAGCGGCCCATGTTTCGCTGCGGCGGCTCGTGGATTGACAGAGTGTCGTCAAAGAGATGGAAGTTTACAATGAAAAGGCCTTGGCTCAATTTGGAGGGAGTGGCGCAGATAGGACGTTGCCGACCTGTTGAAGTAGTGAAGGGAAGTCACCACACATGCGCTAGCGGACAGTAGTCATGAACAGAACTGTGCATCATTGTCATCATTCTAACTACCGCTGGCATTGTTTTCAGCAGCGTCGCTGCCACTTTATGGAAAATGCCCCGCAACACCGTTGTTTCTCGTGTGATAGGACGTGTGCTTAACCCAATATATGTCTCTGCATCATCCAACCCGACTCTCAAAGGCAACTGTATGTGCTGTTGAGAAGGTTCTCTCATCTCACCTGTTTAGGATAGAGCGATAAGCAGGTGCGACTACGACAGATCCTGACCACCGCGCTCAGGACCCTTGCGCATGAGCGCGTCACCTTCCCACATGGCCAATCTCCTTTTCAATGCTGCTGCCATGATCCTCTGAAATGCCGAGAGGCGGTCAGCTTCCTCAGGCTTGGCCTAGAAGATCATGCCAACTTGCCGGCTTGCTGGGCTCCCTACACGCTTGTTTAAACGTTCCTTCGCTCTCTGTCACATTGCGATACTATGGCTGCCTCCATAAGTCCTCCTCAACTGAAAACCGCAAACTGCTGTGGCCTTGTAAAGCTGGGCGGTGAAGCGGAGGATTCTGCCCTCATTCTCGAAAAGCTTTACCAAGTCCTTCCTGAGAGCTGACTGCACCACACTCCCCTGCTGTTCTGCTTGCTGCGGCATGACTATACATCTTTTCAGCATTGCGCTCCATCCTACGATTACGGGCGTTTAAGCGAATGCTTGTGCACGGATTCTCTCAAACATGAAAAGAACGTGAAATCCGCCAAAAGCCCAGAAATCAAGCATCTACCACGTCTAGGACATGTCTGCCTATTCGTCCTATCTGTGCTCATTATTCTGCGTCTAATGTCTGCACTGCACCGATAACCACAAGCAACCAGCAGCATCAATACCAGCAGGTCAAAGCTCTTCGGCGGCTTCGGCGCCAAAGAGTGGACGGAACCCATCGAGTCGTCCCAGGTTCCGTAGCCTGCCATGCCAGGCTATACACTAAAACGTCAGCACTTTGGAGGAGCAAGCATAACATGACACTTGTTGGTGGTCCGGGCTTTTGGTATGTCAGCACCTGGGTCCATAAGGGCCCATCCTAGCGAATCTAGTGACGAGGTGGCCTGAGGTGGGTCGAGAATCCGTGCTGCACATTCGTCCCGAAGAGCCGATGCGAAGCTCAGGCCAAGGGGTTTGACATCTTGAGCTAGCTTGCTTAGCATCCCTGCAGTTGCTGAGCATTGCGGCTGCCAGGGAGGTAGAGGTGCCTGTGTACGGCGGCGTCTTTGGCCTTGGCACCGTCCGCTCCGGAAGCCTCACATCCACTGCCTGCCGACCAGGATGCAGGGTTGCATGTTGCGGGAAAGTCACTGGAAAAGAAATGGAAGATGAAATGGGAGCTGGGCTTGTACTGTTTTACAGTCTTAAACAGGGGTTGTATATGAGATCATCTGAAAGCCTTTTGAGATGCCCTTTGCCATACCAATTCAGGGAACATATCCTGGCTTCTACCCGAATCTATGGCCCGGAATCGTTACAAGTGAAATTGTTTTGCATCTTGGGCTTCAACATTTGCATGGCCGGAGCATTAAGCAATGCTCATAGTTAAGTACATGCGCTGCACCACAGTGTGATGAGACGTCTTGCCAGTTGGAGGTCGCTTACTTCTTGGAGGCCATACTCTTCAGCGCACCTTGCAAATCAAAAATCAAATCTCAACGTAGGGCAGCGCACGGCTTTAAGGACAACCATGAACAAAAAGAAACATTCGGGATCGTTGGGAGTATACTGAGCTCATGATACTCGCAAGTGTGGACAGCTGAGTTACGTGCGTCCGAAGAAGGTAGATCAAGGCCGTTGCTGGTTTTGAAAGCGCTCCAGTTGTTCGAGGCTGCTGTGAATTATATGACTGGTTGTGCCGAACTGTCTGTACAAAAAAAAGCCAGCCAACTGGTCTCCATGAATGTGCGCATCTTGAGACCAGAAAGTGGCAACTTGCCTTCAACGCGACGGGACTGGCGAGTGCAGCTCAACTGACCAGAGTCAAAGCATGTAGTCTCCATGTGATGCATGATTCACACAACCTCGCACGCACAAAGCAATGGAGTCGTGCGCTCATCTGCCATCCAAGCCTATGGTGGCAGCCTGACGCTGCCCATAAGCATCAAGCCGAAGCGTTGCCAGCTTCCCAATGAAGGGAATGCCGCGCTCTACGTCCCAAAACTGCTGCATGTTGCGCGCGGGCTTGTGCTCAGGGAAGTCAAAGATCTAAGGAACCTCTGGGAAGATTTCGCTACTTTGTCCTAAAAATGGAGAAGCGCATGGAAAAGAGAATGGAACATGTAGTGCAAACTGGGGCTTGAGGGTGTAAGGAGGAAGGGTTTGGGGTTCAGGAACGTCAAAGATGAACCAGTGCGGCTGAGGCTCTGCGCCATCTGCTCGGCAGCTGATCGAAGGCTGCCGGGCCAGGACCATTGATAAGGCGAAAACCAGTGTCACAAGATTTTCAGCCGGAACCAGGGCCAGCATCGAGCAGTGACCGCTTTGGACTCATGTGCTGTGAGGTCATAGCATGGTTCATGGCCAAGTTGCTTTCGATATGGAAGTCCTGAGGTTCACAATTGCCCGCTTTGATGTGACCACAATGATCTCCAGGTCTTCGGCCAATGCCACCTGGCCTACGCGTAGACAAATGCTGCCATGGGCCGTTGACATCTTTGCATTCATTCCGAGTGTCGTTCCTGAAGTTGCGTGCTAGCAAGTCGAAAGTGGATCCTGGTTCATAGCGATCCTCCACGCTCACTGCAACAGGCGGCGGCTCAAGACACCATTCCGTTGCCGTGCCAAATATGGACACCAAGGTCAAGGAGGACATCACCAGCTCGTCGCTCAAAGCATTGACCAGCTTTCGTGTTGTTCTTGCAGTAGCCCTCCGGGCCCTCCATAGCGACGTCATACTGCCAACTCCTCGCAGGGGGCCGTCGCGAGTGGGGATCGGGCTGCTGAGCTGTAATGTTAACTTCTGATTAATAAAAGGGGTCATATGAGAGCTAAATCAGGCCTGAACTGGATAATACAAATAGGTACGTATTACAGCTAAATCCGACCTGAGCGGATTAATAACAATTCAGGAACGGAATAATTCCGAAAGCCAAGGAGGCCAGCCAATCTAAGCAACCGAACCCCTAATCAAGTATCTGCAAAAGAAGAGTAACATTTGAACTGCAAATACTAATATCCCAAGCTTTAGGCCTATGGATCTCGAACCTAATGACGTAAAACTTTTTCGCTCGAAAGCCAATTCCATTCCAGTTTTCAAATTTTGAGAACGCCAGAATCTATCGATTTCTGAAAAACCGCTTGTTCATTCGAACAACACACGCAATCATTTCTGATAAGGGGTACTATACCGAGACCGCCGTAACGGAGTAATGGCCATTAAAAACGGTACGGAATAATCAGGGCCAAGGCAGGCATGGACCCCAGAATCTGCAAAAGAAGAATAAGCTTCGAATTGCAGATTATTATATACCAAGTCTTGGGCTTATGGATGTCAGACCTGATCACTTACAGCTTTTTCGCTAGAAAGCAACTTCATTCTGATTCTCAGGCTTTGATCACGCCAGAAACTATCGAGTTCTTATAGGACCACTTCTTCATTCGAACAGCGCAGGCAATCATTTGTCATATGGCGCACTGTACCGGGACCACCGGAAAGGAATAATGGCTTTCAAAAAGGGTACGGAACAATGAGGTCCCTGGCAGGCATGGACCCCAGAGTCTGCCAAAGAAGAATAAGCTTCAAATTGCGAATAACTATATACCAAGCCTTAGGCCTATGGATCTCAGACCTTATTTTTGAAAGCTTTCTCTCCAGAAAGCAACTTCATTCCGCTTCTCAGGTTTTTGATCACGCCAAAAACTATCGACTTATTATAAGCACTCATTTTTGATAAGGGGTATTATAGCGAGACCGCCGTAACGGAATAATGGCCATTTGAGCAAGGGTACGGAATAACCTGGTCCCTGGCAGGCATGGACCCCAGAATCTGCAAAAGAAGAATAAGCTTCGAGTTGCAGATTATTGTATACGAAGTCTTTAGGCCTATGGATCTCAAGCTTAATCACTTGAAACTTTTTTCGATCGAATTCTCAAGTTTTGATCACGCCAGAAACTATCGTTTTCTTATAAGACCACTTCTTCATTCGAGCAGCGCAGGCAATCATTTGTCATATGGCGCACTATACCGGGACCGCCGGAAAGGAAAATTTGCTTTCAAAAAGAGTACGTAACAATGAGGTCCCTGGCAGGCATGGACCCCAGAATCTTCAAAAGAAAAATACGCTTCAAATTGCAGATATATCCCAAGCCTTAGGGCTGGAGCTTTTAAGGTTTAAGGTCAAGGGCTCAGGGTTTACAGCTGAGTTAAAGGCTAACATTTAGGGCTTAAGTAAGAGTTTGAGGTTGAGGATTTCATCAAGATTTTTGGGTCGGGGTTCAAGGTTTAGGTTTTCAGGTTCGGGGCTTGGATTTAGTTAAAATCTCAGGGCTCTGGCCTGTGCCGGGCCCCCCCAAACAAATATTCTGACACTTGACTGGGAACCCCCTTGACTATGCAGAATCATATTTGCCAGCGGGAGGGGGGGTTACTAATCAGAACCCCCCATTATGCGCCTCATCTGCTGTGTTCCTGTAGCCTTCCCTACAGAAGATCTCGTAGATCACTTTCAAGTCGCAATCTTCGTCTTGGCCGCACTTTCTCCATGTTATATTTCAATTGGCATGGCAACGTGCACGCGGAGGGCGCGAACTGCTAGAAGCTTTTGCTCGGGCCTCTGATCTGGGTTGGGAGCTTCGTGAAGGCGCCCCTCTCCTTTGCAGTCACAAACTTTGGCTCCTTGACCGGCCACCAGCTGGCGTTGCAACTCCGACCGTCAGCAAGAAACCAAGTAGCCATGGTCGCGGAACTGGCGAGCCCACCATCATTCTGTTTCAAGCACCAATTGCCATTCCCGGTTCGGCACATGTGCAGCCCGTTCGTATGGCGAAGGTACACACTGTAGCGGTTGAAAAAGTCGTCTTCATAGTAGCTGCCGCGGAAAGAAAATTGATCACATGATGAAGAATTTACCCGGCCGAATTGCAGCGCATGCATGTAAGCACCCAGGGAGGAAACGACTGCTGGCTTATTTGTCAGTTCCGAGTCCAGGATGGTCACGCGAGCCTCGTAGCCCTCCCCTTGCAGGCTCCCCGAAGTCTTGAAGTCCTGAAGTCCTTGAGCTGCAATACAATTATCATCTCCAACAGGAACCAATAGTTCCTGGGCCGACATGCAGAGGGTTGTCAGACTACCGCCAGTCAACAGATGCAGCGCTTTGGCGAAGAACGCGCATGATGGATGTGTCACCGTGGCAACGGCCAACTGCATAATAGCTGCCACCAAGATAACCATAGTCATGCTGGCCACTAAGCCAAGTTGCCTTCTCAGTCTCAGACTTAGACCCAGAATATGCATCAGGGCATTCTGTCTTCTCGCAGCTGCGTCTGTAGGATTTTTCGGGAGTGCTTTCAAGTGTTCTCTGTCAGGAGTTGCCCATGTGTGGGCATCTTTGGAACCGGCAAGAGCATACATGTTGGCACGTCTCTTGACTGTAAGGAGCCAGTCCAAATCGGATTTCTCTCTTTTGCTAGGGTGCCTGCAGTCTAGTACAGCACCACAGGCAGCAGGCATATCACGGGCATATCAGAAAATGACACTTTTTTGCGAGGAGCCATGGCGGCATGAGAAGTACCAAAGAGGTTTAGGGATCTATGGTCACATGGTTCAGAAACTGAGGAAATTAGATGAGAGGAAATGCAGTTTCATCTGGGGCTTGCCAGAGTGGCAGTCTGAAGGTGAACAGGCACCTTAGCATTCTGTACTAGCATCTCTTCTCAGCCACGCCCATGCAACGGCTCAGGGTTCACGGACTTGAAGTGTGGGGTTCTGGGCGGGGACTGAGCCCTAAACCCTAAACCCAAAATAGTAGTTTCCATGTTGTTTTCCCTCATCCCAATATGTATCCCTACATATTCCTGTATACCCCTAATTTTGGCTCAAGGTCAACTAGGAGGCTTGTAGGACTATTATGTGCCTTCTCGGGGAAGCATTGGGTTTTGTTGGCCAAGTCTTGGGATCTCACCATGGAGGTCCAAGAGCCTTCAGGGTAGGATTTAGGCTTCAGAGGTTGTTGTTTTTGGAGACCTGGAGGCAATTCACCTCGGCCCCGCCCTTTCGCTTCAACAACAAAAGCCTGGGTTGCTGTTTAAACTAAGGTACCATAATATGGGTGTATCGTAAATGCTAGGGTTTCCTTACTCTAATAACTGAATTTAAGTTCCTCAACAGCGACTAAGAAGACTCTCCCACCCCGCCTCAGCTGTTAAGCTAAACTAGGACACATTTAGGGTCCCTACGAAGATTCAGTGTTTCTGGCTTTATAGGGAGTATGTAGGGGGTATGGTCCAACTAAGAATTATACCCAGGAATATCCCCGGGAAATTCTCTCCCTCTCATCCCCCGAGCCCCAGCCCCAAGTCGCTAGAAACTTGACTAAACACTATGGTTCCCCTTAAGTAGATAGAATATGGCTTTGGGTATATTATAATAAGATCCCCATATACCCCATATTCTATCTACTTAAGGAGGACTATAACCCGAACATGCATCCTCCCTCAGGTGCCCACCTCAACCAACTTCATGCCGAGCTCCTTCTCGTAGTACCGCCTGCCACCCCACACTTCCCCATGCCATACCAACTTCAGGATATGGGACACAGTCAGCGCCGAACACGACATCGGTTGTTGATCACTCCGCACTCTTGCACTTCAGGGCTGACTTTCAGGATCATCCTAAACTTTCATGATCATTTGACTGTCATCATCAACGTTGTGAGCCCCCGAGCGCCAAAATTTGCGGACCTCGTGAAGTCGTCGGCATCATAGATGAAAAAGCCTGGGCGGGTTCAGCTCGTGCCATGTGCCACACCGTGGCTACAATCCCAATGAGGGGACACGATAGCTTCCATAAAATAACGGACCCCAATGTAGACCCCGATGTACCGTAATCTTTGTTATAGGGGACCCCAAAAAGATACACCTTTTGCGAAAAAAATGACAGAACTTTTTGGATGTATGCATGAGCAGCAAGCTTCCCCCTTTGCAGCAAAGGGGCGTTGGCCAAGGAGCTCTGGAGATTGACCGATGTTGAAGTCATCCAAGCTGATCAACTCATCCTTTCTCTGTAACCTCAGAAGACGTCTAACAACTCCAAGCCTTGTCCGAGCACCCCTACAAGAAAGGATAGTTGGATATAGTTGGTGTCGCCTCATCCCTCTGAAAATGAGTGCCGGGCCTGTCGAGGGGCCCCATGACTTTGGCCTTCCAGCTGAAGCGACTCTGGGCAGAACTATGCTCCGGATCCTTTGTGTTCTGGCTCTGGGTTCCAGATTGCAGCCCTCAACCTCATCCCACAGGGACGGTGATGGAAACGCAGAGACCTACCAAAATCACAGCACCAAATTCACCGCAGTCCTGACCAGCTAAGTACAGTGCGAAGTGAACTACAATGGGTAGAAGGCGAGAGTGCGCACATCCTCCCTCAGCCAGGCTGTAGCCGCCTGCCCACGACCCAGCTTCCCCCTGCGGAAGAAGATGGGAAAGGCATCTCGGCCGCAGTTCAGAGGATACTTCTCTCGGATCTCCACCTTGGATGAAGATTCCCTCCCAGCACTTCCTGCTGAAGCTCTCAACGACTCCACACAGAGGGGCTACACAGCTATACTCAATGAGAATGTGGGTCACCTGGGCATCTACGCTCAGTTGAAGAAACTGCTCCTTGCCTGGTTCTCAACCTATATATATGCTTTCACTGAAGCAAAGCTGGAGAAATCACGCTCGCTCTTCGACTCTTCGGGTTTCAGCTGCTGTTGCGTGCGTGGATCTTGCGCGCATCTCCTACGCACTCCTACTCAGATGCCCCTGAACGCGCCAAGGTGCCGTATCATCCGCAAGGAAATACAAGATCTCGAACGGCCTCCCAACAGGCGATGTACGTTGCTGCATGTTGCTGATAGGATTTTTGATGTCCCCCTGGCCTTCGTTCGAACTGAGGTGTCTTGAGGTCGTCGAAGACTGCGTAGAATCGACAAACTTTTCGGTCCCACTCCATGAACCTTTGCAACTTGCAACAAGCACAACAGAGGGAGTACGAGTGCTCGCCGGGCTCCCAAGCTTCAACGTGAACCCCCATGACACCCGGAAGAATGGCGCACACACACCGCTTATTGCTACGTAAGGGTCGGGAATAACTGTTCGGGGGGATTCCGGAACCCCTTAGAAGGCTCCGCCGGGGCACTGTTGCATGTTCACGTTGATGTGCCCACCTCCGATGCGCTGTTCTCGATAGACCTGCCAAGTTGAGCCCAACAAAACAAAGCCAACCAGATCTGAAAGCAGAATAGGGAGGTAGGTTAAGGGGTTTGGGGCTTAGCATTGCAGGGGTACAGGAGGACTGGTACCAAAAGAACTCTCGCTCTCCTCTTCCCAGTGTGAGCTACATAAAAGCAACGTGGCGGCTGCACGGTTTCATACGACCGTGGCTGATGCACCCTTGGCTTTCCTGCCCGCACTCGAAAAGGGATGCACGAACTGCCAACGGGTTCGCATTGGGGTTGAGGATCCAACAGAAATCTTGCAGAATATTGCCAATCCGATGAGCTCCCTCCCGGCATCTTCCAGTCTCCTCCACCGGCTATTTCGAACTGCGTCTCTGCGAAAGAGTCTACAGCGGGCTCCAGGGCAGCATCCTGATCACGGCATGGGCAGTGGCCCTTCTTGGGGATCCTCAGAGCTCATTGCTGAAAAATGCTTAGCAAGAAGGCGGCCCTTCCCTTGTGCAAGCACCACTTGTGTCCGACACTCCTGCTCCATGTCCATCTCCGTGTAGTACTTTCGAGTCCACTCATCGCAGTCCAGGATCTGAGCATGCAAGGCCATGCACTTTGCTGGGTAGATGTATGCGGTTGCTACCTGTATGTGAACATGCCCATGCTCTCACAATGACCTAAACATCAGGAGAAACCAAGGGAAGCCTAGTCTGAGCAAGGTCAACAGGCCGCATAGGCCGCTGCCTTCCTGTCGCAACTTAACATTGGGCAGAGTTTTGCCAAATCTTACTCCCACAGCCAGACGTGCAATCATGTTCAAGCCTTTGTCTTGGGCACACCGAAAACCCGCTACACTCCCTTTTGAGAGCGCAAAGCCCTTTCGACTGAGCAGTGCCTGGATGACGCGGCCGTAGATGTGGAGTTCACCTGCGCTTCACAAAGACCAAAGGTCGTCTTTGCCGTGGCACACAATGACAACATGATGATGACGAGGAGGACCACCATGATCTCAATAGCAGAAGGTCCACGCACATTTATTATGTTATGGGTTTGGCCCAAAATTCAAACAACAGACTTCTATGCCAAAACAACAATTCAGTTTTGGCTCACGTTTTACAACTGTACTGTGGAAGTGTACGTTATCGTTCGGATTTTATGACTTCAGGACAGCCAAGGCTTTATGATTGTTGATCAGGGGGCACACTTCCTAGCTTTCCACCCCCATAGAAAAATCAAGTTAAAATCTACTACTAGATGCAGGGAGTGGGTTACTGAGAGCTGCGGGCTTAGGCATACGACGGCTAAATAGGAGACAACGGCATTACGCATGTTTCCCCTCAGGGGACATCTGCGTGTTGGCGCCAAAGCTTCCCAATGCTACATACCAAATAGAACATCCGGCGCCCTAAACCCTAAACCCTAAACCCTAAACTGCTCTATGAGTCGCTCTTTGTTTGAAGCGTGCACGGAATGTGGAAGGCTGTTTTTGCAAATGTGTCCAGAAGCCTTCCGCTAGCTGGGTCCCTCCTGAAAAGAGGCTGGATCGCCTTCTCCTCTCCTACAAGTGAGCTACAGTCAAAACTCCTAGTATTCCCCTTAATGACCCCTATCGTACTCCCCTATAGAATTCCCTATACAACCCCCTTTAAGGAGTTTAGACTATAGCTCATGTGGTAAGTTCCGGGCACCTCCTACCCGAAGATCTTGCCAGGAGAGGTAGCCATCCGGGCCGGGAAAGCGGTGCCGCCGGAGGAGCTGCCCTGGAGGCGTTATGAGCAAAATTATCCGAAGGTTTAGGGTTTAGGGTTTTAGGGTTTAGGGTACAGGGTTTAGGGGTTCAGGGTTTACGGTATAGGGTTTAGGGTTTAGAGTTGAATTGATGAAGAATGAAGCAGATTTCAGGACAGGCCCTGCATGGCAAACCTTTCTGCGGGGGCAGTACTTGTTTGCGCATTGCTCAGAGCACCCCCAGATTAAGACATGTAGCCCGCTTCAGGTCTCTCATAAAAAATGATGCCGTGATACAATGCAAGATGGCAGATCTATCTTTGTTTGAGCGAACCCGCCAAAGGCCCATCTGCCCGCGTAATCCTCAAATGGCATTTCGCAGGGGCCTGGGTACTTGCAGTATCAAGCCGCATCGAAGATGATAACATGCTCGGCATTGCCCCTCACTTACTACCGCAGCCTTTTTAAGGCACCACCCTCCGCTCACGGCCTGGTCCCACCCCCAGACCATGACAGATCTGGCCTTGCATGATTCCGCTGTTCTCCACCTTCTTCTCTGTGATGTGGCAGGTGTCGTCCTGGCCATCGGCAAATAAGCTCAGCCACCCCTATATAACCCCAATATAATCCCTATGTAACCCTTTATGTAATGCCTATATATATACCCGATATGACTGCCATATAATCCCAATCCCTACATAACTACAGCACCACACTGTAAGCAGGCCGAACTCGCCGATCGCGGGGGCAAGAATGGCATAGGAAGAAGAATGATAGGTATCAAGCCATGAACATGATGGTTGTCATGGCGAAACACTACCAGGACTACCAGCGAAGGACTGCTCTTGCATTGCTTTGTCTTGCGAAAGAAGAAGGTCAAGGATACTTCCAGCAATCACGGCAGAAGTCCAGTCCTCGAGATAGTACATGATGACGCACTGACGGACCCTGATCAGGGCAATTGTTTTTGGGACTGCAAATGCCTTGATGAATTGCAGCCTGAGCTTGTCCCTGGGCATGAAACGCCTTAGGGTTTAGGGATATAGGGATTTACGGTTTTCGGAATATGAGGTTTACTGGATCCTTTGAAAAGATCCCCAACCTTCTCAATATCTGACGGGGCTGACTTTGCAGGGTTTCCCCAGGACTACCGGCATGCTGTCAAGAAGACCCAGGAGCTACCATGTCTGAAGCCCCCTGCCTATAGTTTTCCAAGTTCGTCTCCACAACAGACTCTTGGAACTGGCCGTAGAATCGAAGCACATGCCTCCACTGGGCACTAAGCTGGTACATGTTGCATGATTGCGCTGTCTTCTCAAGTGCACCTCTCTCGCTCACACAGGCGAGATTCTGCCAGTAAAGTCAAAAACAGATATCGCATGATGACCGAGGGACAAGAGAAAAATCGGAATCCAGAACATGTCAAGAATTGTAACGATAATCACGCCCATGAAAGCAACAAGAAAATACAACAAGAACTACCAATAGCACGAGCATGTCGAAGCCTGTCTAGCACGTCCCATGCGGGAGCTTCCGTCTGGGAGGCTTGGACATGGTCCTCGCAGCAACTGATCCATCCAAAGTGCTAAGGTTGGATGAAGCTACGCGTTCAAGGTGTAGACATCTTGCTACATCTTTCTTAGGCGTGCAGACGAATTGGAGCTACTGCTAAAGGGTTCAGAGTTTCGCGTCTCAGCTCGTGAAATCCGATTCAGAGCTGTCCATTTCAGCTTCAGAGTTTTGATAAAAAGGGCAATGTTTGAGCAGTTCTGGGCCAGGACGTCCTTGAAATCTGCATGGACGGTAGTCTGCCCCATGGAGCCTGTGAAATCACATCTGCAAAAACATGCTGGTCTCAGCGGCGCTCATCATCTGTATGTGACCTTCCGCAAAGCAAGGGGGCACCCCCCACCCAGTAATTGTGGCTATAGGGAATAATCAGGTGTATATTAAGGTCCTCGTGCATTTTTTCGTGAGAAAAGGGCTGAGGACCCAGGCCCAATCTTTTCGGCTCCAGGTTCAGTGGCACCTTCACAAACTTTGGCTTGTCGAAAGTCATACCTGGCAAAGCCATCTTCGGATGTCAACCCCTTCACTGCCTTGGGAATGCTGGCTGCTGCCGGTACCATGATCATGGGTAGGTTTTCACTCGTAGCAACGTCTCGAAGGAAGCAAATAGCAGCCTAGCAATTCTTCAGTGAACGCAAGCCTGGCGGGGTGGAGACTCGTTGCAAAGATTTTTCGCGAAGGACAAATCCCCAAGACACTCGTGTCAGAAGGGTGCTGCCAAAATCCAAGGAAATCTTTCCAGTGCAAAAAAAAATGCTGTCTGTTCAAAGCACTGCACATGCAACCTAGCTCTGAACCTGTGCGCTTGGGTGGCATGAGCAAATCTGGGAGTTATCCTGTTCCACAGTTCGCAGAATCCAGGAAGATCGATGCATCTCCTTCAGCTCTCGAGGTGGTAGTCCCCACACTCACATAATCACGTAGGGTGCCCTAGCATCAACCCCACTATGCCAGAATCCCATCACTGGGACTCGCAACAAAAAGGCCGCTCGTTGTTGGATACTCCTGTAGCCAGGCAGGCCCAAATGGACTGGCCTTCCGACTGCTCAATGCGAACGCCATTCACCAAGCTGAACGTGTGACATCTGCCATGGTTCTTCTTCTTGGTCTTGACCTGGATGGTTTCCCAAAACGGAGGCATCTACCTATCTCTGTGACACTTTCCACCCCTCTCTATCTATCGCCTGCTACAAAATCAAAAGCTCCTATCTCTCTGACAGAAGGCCCCCAATACGGGCTTTGCTTAGCTGCAGTCATGCCTTCACGGGCACTGACAGCCTACTGAATGTTCAGGCCATTTCGAACTAGAAGCAGCCATCTTTTGCGTTCAGCATTCAAGTCTTATTCTTATCTAGCTTCAATCACGATCACCTGGAGTAGTGCACCCATGCCTCATTAGTCATAAACTACGTGCTCAGAAAACAGAAACATCCTCAAGCAACAACTCGTCTGCATTGAACCGGACATATCAGAATGTCTAGTAAGTAAAGCCACCCCGAAGTCACAAAGGTGATGAACAAGCTAGGTGAAACCAACACTCCGGTCTCGCAACGATGTCATTTTCGATTTAGCACACTGTCCACATCACATGAGCTATAGTCCAAACTCCTGGGAACCCCCTAAAACCCCTTCCCTACTAAAGTCCTTTAAAAATCCCCTATATAACTAACCCCCTTTACGGAGTTGACACTACAGCTCATATCATTTCAAGCCCTTTGTGGCATGGTATGTTGAATGTTCGCTTCGTGAGTGTTGGCTTCGGCTTCTCTCACCCAGCCTTAATGTGAGTTACAATCAATCCGCGCAAAAGCTCCTGTTACCTTTCCTGTAATGGCTCTGCAGAACACAGTTGCGGTATCAAAGCATGCGTCCTATTACTACGCAGCTACGCACATGCAAGTCCAAGCTTTTGCCAGCAAGCCAGGCCAGAAGCAAAGACTCTGCTGGTGGCCAAGGACTGAAGTGAAGAGAAAGAAGCCCGAAGCGGAGAGGATCCTTCACGCAGAACCTCTTCGCGTAGGGCTTTTCACATTTCACGCCAGTCCTGGCTAGTTCCAAGGTGGCTCCCAAACCCTTCCTTTATACTCAATGCTGCGATAGACTCCTCCAAGCTCCAGGTAAGATCTTACGCTCGCGCTTGCCACCTGGATTGGACGTCTCCATGAAGCTGCTGTAGAGGGTGAGGAGTTGAGGATCAAGGAAGTGAAAGGGCCAGTGAAGAAGCTGAGCTTCTTCACTGGCACTTTCATTTCCTTGATGCCCAACTCCTCACCCTCTACTCTCGGAGGCCGAGTTTGCCTCCTCCCGGGTGACGAACAAGCCACCCTAAAATCTCTTCTTGCTGGCGGCATCCGGCACTTTGACCTGCCTCCTTTGAGCAAACTCACTCCCTCACCGTGGAGTGCTGGCCTTGCTCTGGCTTGAGGATGCCCTTGCGCACCAGCTCCTCGCGATGGGCCTTGGCTTTGCGCAGGGCGGCTGCCACGGCCTCCTGCTCACTGAGGCCTTGATCCAGGAGCGGGCGTAGGGAGAAGCCCACCTTCTTTCCTTTGCCCGACTCTAGATACTCCAGATGCCAAAGCCTATACTATGTAAGTTGTGCCAATGATTGCCAGTGGATGTTGTCCACCCCACTCTGGCGCTCCACGCCCCGGATTGGGGTGGAGAATGTCCACTGGCAAAGCGATGCCCTTGAAGAGCGCATGGTGCGGCTGCTCATGCATGAATAGGCTTCCGTTTGGCCTTTCGGAAAGCCCAAACGGAACCCTATTCATGCAGGCTCTTCATGCGGGGAGAGCCTAGGCAAAGCTCAGCTCCGTGAGGGCCTTTCCCAAATCCCGCGCCTGCGTTCTGACCACAGTGAGCGGTTGCGTGCGTTGCTGCCGGCACTGCTGCCGCTACTGATGGTCACGAAGGCTTCTCGTGCTCGCTTCTGCACTTGGCGCCGGGCGGTCGGAGAAGTCTTTAGATTTGTAAGGCCGAGCTGCCGCAAGACTAGTCTCTTCGAAGCCTTTGCGGTTGGAAAAGGCTTAAGATTCAAAAAGGCCGGCTCATTGGTTCAGAAAAGGTTCGTGTCCATTCTGAAGCCTGCACGTGCCCAAGGGAATCTCACAACGAACATTAGGCCTCTTCAAGGTCAATGAGCGGGAACTTTTGACAAGTCTGCTTCGACTGGTCATAGAGGAGAGTTGGCCGACGTGGGGTTGGATGTGCAATCCGGTGTCGCCTCTTTTCTTTGACCAATCGCCAGCTGGTTCGGATAGCCTTCTCGAGGGTCCACATGTTGGCCCCTACTCCCGACTGCAAGGAGAAAGCCAAAGTCGGATTTCTCGCTTTTGATAGGGTGCTTGCAAACTCGCACAGAGAAAGAAGCAGGCATGTCGGCGAAAGGTACTCTTTGCGACGAGCCATGGCAGCACACGAAGTACCGAAGGGGTCCAGAGATTCCATGGCTCAACGATGAAAGAAACTGAGGAAGTGAGATGAGAGGCAATGCAGCTTCATCTGAAGTTTGCCAGAATACCGTTCTTAGGATCTTGAAGTCCACAACCGCTGGTTGCTCGGTTTGTCACGTCTCCCCACTCTGCTGCACGTGACACCTTGCCGGATGTTGTGGCCACACCTCTTCAGAACTTTGACTGCTGAGCAGAGCTGCGCTGTACAATTTTGCCATGCCGCAAGCAAACAAGCAAAGCCTGCACAAAAGCTCGCTTGGAAAATCAGAAGCCCCTTGCTGGCACTGACGTTTCCCAAATGCTGTAACAAGGTTCTAAAATGCTGCAACAAGGTTCTCATGGGCAGTTCACGCTATTTTTTTGAAAATCGGGATTCCGGTCCAGACCTCATCCCTGTTAAAGGAGGCTCTAGAAATGACGTTCGGCCTCCAAGATAAAGACTCGTTTTCAACAAACTCACCCATTTGCGACTTCCATTACTGAGGACGCTGCTGTGAAGCCAGGCAGGTTGGGCACGGCGGAGACATCAAGCCTCTACATACAATAGTGCTTGCAACTTGCAAAGGATCTAGCATGACTAGAGCCGGGCAGTGGGACTAGCTTTGCTTACTGGTTCTTTGTATGGAACAAAAGAATATACTCCCTATGATCCCTATATCATATGTTCCCATAATCCCATGTAAGAACCAGCAGGTTTGGCGACAAGCTGGGTCAACGACTCCATCGGGTCCATCGCCTCTGCGTCCATGGCGGCTTCGGCGGCACTCTTTGAGCGCCCCAGGCCTTGCATCCATCAACAAACAATAGCACACGCTCCCGCGAAAAGGCTGAGGACCGAGCCGCCAAAACAGCCAGCGTTGGCCTGCCAGGAGTTCATGTGACTCCTCTTGACCGGTGGTTCACACCGACTGACGACTTCAGCCTCAAAGCGGCCTGCGGCCCCAACACAACCGCGATTCTGCTTGACCCGACAAGGGCTGCGATACATGGAAAGCAATAGCATTGCTGCAAGACATGCTGTTAGGTAGTATGTCTGGAGACCCCAGGGTTGTGGTGGGCGTGAACGTCACTTGGCACGACACACAACTAAACGGAGCTTGCAATCCAAAGTCTGCAAGCGCAACCCTTCAACTGTGCCGCAGCCTGCATGCTACTTTACGGATAGGAACCTGATTTAAAAACCCTCAATGCCAGGATTCGGTTTCCCTGGACCACCAAAGGGACTACAGCTTTCGGATGCTGGCGATACAGGGGCGGATGTCTTTACAAGTTCCAGCTTGCGTATGTCGTGCGAATCTAGGTTAAGATAATCTGAAGGAGCTTCGATGAGCTTCGATAGCAAACTTACGCATAACTCGGGTCGCGCCATGATCCCCAATTTCCTCCAAGAAGGACCAGAGGGTGTTTCCTAAACAAACCCCTCCCCCTCGAGCATAAACTCCCGCACCCGCCCTTCTCATAAATTTCCCTCTTTAAACTATAAAAATACTCTGCTGGAGGTCTTGGTCATTTTTGGCCGGGATTTTGACTGGGGGGAGGGGATAATTTCAACAACTCAGTGGGTTGAGATCTCCGGGCGCCCCGCTTGAGCAAATGACTGGCTGCTTGCCTCGGAGCCAAGGCTATATGGGTAGTTCCCAAAGTAAGGGGTACCTTCTTGGGGTAAGGATTATAACATTGTGGGGTCCATTTTGGGGTCCCCTTATTTGGGGAAACTACCATATGCAAGTGTATCATAAGTACCTGTATTCATTGTCCCTGAGAAGGACCCCGTTGATCCCCGGCTTCGTACAGGTGCCCCTCGTTTGAGAAACATCCATGTATCCATGTGTCTAGGGACCTTGATACCTGGTACGTCGTGCTTGTGATCCTCCTGGTGCTGATGCTACCACTCCTCCTCCTCCCACTCCTTCTACCCCTAGTAGTAGTAGTAGTAGTAGTAGTAGCAGCAGCAGCAGCAGTAGCAGCCGCAGTAGTGGCAGTAGTAGCAGTAGCAGTAGCAGTAGCAGGGGTAGTACTACTGCTCCTACTACAATACTAGCGCTTTTGCTCAATTTCCAAGTCTCGTTCGGCCATGTCAAACATTCGTTCCGTTGTCTGAAAGTCCATATTCATCTTCAAACATAAATGCAGTGATGGTAGAGACATTAACATCTTGGTCATCTGAATGCGAAATCCGGAGACAACAATGAGCATCTAGCAAGCGCCCAAGGCATACGCACGATTCTACAAGGTGTTTGTGAAAAAAGGTTAAAAACCCAGGCGATGATCCGAATAGAAGAAAGATGGAGACAAGGGCTTGTTCAGATCCAGACACGAAGGATATAAACGTCAGGAGATGTGTACTAGTCCATAGCATTGCATGTCACGTTGGAAACAGCATGTGGCAACTCACACACCGTCAGAAACGCGAAGTGCGGGTACGGCCGCTGCCGCTGCCACCACGGCAATTGCCAACACAACCACTACTGTGAGAACTTCTAGTGCTGATGCTTAAAGTAACCTTGGCATTGTTAAGTACATGGCTCCAAGGACTAGCACTTCGTGAACAGGTACAACGACTACAAATGCAGGCTGCAATTGCCTTGGTTAAAGCTGCAAGTCTTTTTCCGGAAAGTTGAGCCGCAGACTCTGAAAGTTCAGAGTGTAGGACACGGTTCGCACCAACACCTGCACGCCAAGGTGCTGCAGACTTTGAAGCAGAGATTCTTAGAGCAAGTTTCGATCCGCAATGCTGAAGCTGTTCAGCGAATTCTTAATAGTACTCGTAGCAGTTGTCGTCGCAGCAGCAGCAGCAGCAGCAGCAGCAGCAGTGGCAGCGGCGGCAGCCAAGGAGGAGTAGTAGTAGCAGTAGTAGTCGAAGTAGAAGAAGTAGTAGTAGTCATCGTCGTAGTCGTAATAGTAGTAGGAGGTTGTAGTAGTGGTGGTGGTGGCGGTGGTGGTGGCAGGGGATCATTTTGCTCCCTTCACATCATCCCCACAACGATGGCCTCCGCAGCCATGCGCCGCATAGCGCCATCGTGGCCTCTCTTCAGATGTTGATGAAAAAGAGATGGTAAAATTGGTACCTCTCTCAACTGCGACTGAGCTGATCAGATGACAGTGCTTTCGCAATGTGACATACTGTCATCCAGGCTCCACTTCCACCTAGCTAGGGTGTAATTCAGCTGCATCTCTGGGATGAAGTGGGCTTGGCAGCCAGTCCACCACCACAACTTGACGCCATATGCAAGATAGATATTTACGATGCTAAGAAGGATCGCCAATTCTGATGACTGAATATACTATAGTAGTTTCCATGTTCTTTTCATTATCCCTATAAAACCCTATATATCCCCAATATACTATATAGTAGTTTCCATTTTCTTTTCGGTTATCCCTATGAAACCAATGCACAGAACCTAAAGCGGCCACTGAAAAAGCCCGAAGATTGGACTAAACACCCAATGCCCTAATGCAGAAGCATGAGTCATAACCAATATGTTGGTTTCCCAAAATTAGGGGGGGGTACCTTTTTGTGGGGGTCCCGTTAATGAGGAGTATAGTATTTTGGGGTCTATATGCGAGTCCCCTTGTTTTGGGAAACAACCAGATATTTTGGAGGTCTATTTCAGGCACCCTACACCATGACTATGCAAGGAATCCACAACCATGATATTGGCACAGCTTGAGGCCCCTATAGCCTTTTGTAAACGCTGCTGCACCCTTCACCACAGACATTTTCCCTAAACCCTAAACCCTAAACCTTTTTGGATCCCCAAGGCAGGCGCTTAGCCGATCTTGGCCCAGAACACCCAAGGCCAAGTCGGGCTTAGCAGCATGGGAGAGCTTAAGGTCCGTGAGAAGGGGTCAGAGTTTAGGACACAGTTTAGGGTGTAGGGTCTATATTAAACCCATTGGGGTACTGTTGGGGTTATATTAGGGCTATATTGGGGTTATGTTGGGGTTACATTGGAGCAATATTCGGGCTATTTTGGGGTTATATTGGGGTGATAGGTCATCCAGTTGTGAACTATGCGTCGTAAGCATTGTAAAAGACAGTCAAACTACTCCATTTTACGCAAAATGCCACCCTGTGCCCAGAGATTGTTTGAAGATACCATGTCGATGTCATAGAGATATTCTGGCATTCCTGCGTGGCTTCTTCAGGGGTCATAAAACGGCATGAGAAGACTCACTACAATACAAGCAGGGCCTCCCTTCGTAGCTGAGCTATTCTCATCCTCCCATTGAAGACGTCTTCCCTTCCCTCGCGATATCAGGTAACAAATTCTAGACTGTAGATATCCGTATACATCTGTGCAATGGTACAAGCCTGGCAGAAGAACTTGCAGTAGCTGTCGTGCCAGCCCGGTGATCAAGGAGCAGAAGAGCCCATTCTACAAGCCGCAGCAGTTTGGGGTTAAATACCATTAGTAGTAGTATGAATACCATTATATTAGTATAACAATGATGTTCATTATTAAGGTAATATGCAATAGTGCCATTATTACTATCACATTATCTTCTCCGGTGGCGATTGCCACTTGAGCAATGCAACAGCACTGACCAAATCGTAGCATGACACGGCCAACGTTTGATTGATTCATGAGTTCTTCCTTGGGCTGCGGCAAGACCCAGGTTGGAGAGCTCCGGTGCAGTCTTTGCATCATCTGTCAGCTTTCGCAGAACCTGGCGACATAGAGAGCGGCTCTCTGCCCCAAGGCCCTTCCCACAGAAAGCTGCTGAAAGCTGGATGGTGGCTCAAGGTGTCACCCATTTTGCGAGGTCCTGTGGATCCCACGCGCACGCGCTCCTCCGAACCCTAGCGAACGGCGGGCTCTACAGCTAGCAAAATTCTGTCTCAGAATTTCCCAGTTGCACTCACCAGCTTGGGGAGGAGGTCACTAATGGACCCACGAAGAACTACATCTGCTAGGCCATCCAGTGCCGTGGCTTCCGCGTTCAGAATGATCACCTTGGCCTTGGATTCGTATCCCTGGGATCCCTATATGGAGAGTGTCCTCTCCAGGCTGATTGAGCCAAGTTGCGCCTGCTGCCTTTGCGATGGGTACCATGTTGGCAACCTCAAGCTCTGACTGAATCCTACTTCCGTCATCAGCCCGCGGCCCGCAGCTTCACCAGGCTTCACCACCATACCAAGACCCCGGCCGGATAGACGCTGAGGGTGCTCCCCACTGCCAGCAGCACATCACATCCCTTCGCAGCAGCCTGCAGACCACAATCAGAGCAAAGTGGGCAGAGCCTCCAGGTGCGGCTTCGCGCGGAAGGCCTCCGCGCGCAGGATGTCTCTGGAGACCAGGCTCTGGCCGAAGGAAATGTTTGCCTCTGCGATGTTGGCAATCTCGAAAAACTGACAGTGGCAAAAATTAAAGGACAAGGTGCGGTCTTCAAGATCGAACCGCATTTCGGGCATCTCGGATCCGACTCGCCAGCGTCCACCCTCTCCAGAAGCTCACTGTAGTAGCACCAAAAATCGCACTCCCCAGCCTGCTGAAGGCAACCACCAATTTAAAACAGCTCGCTGTGATCCTGCAGTCCTGCCTGAGTCTTCTCCAAACTTGGTGCCGAAGAGAAATCAAGCCAGTGCTCCATGCTTCGTCGCATGCAATTCCTTGGCCGACAGAACGACCCTGAGCAACACTCGGCTCGGACAGGCTGCCTCTTGGGGAAAGGTGCTCCTGCCTCACCCAGTAAGAGCTGAGGATCACATGCCGGCGGCTGCCATGGATCGTAACCAGGGCATTGGCTGGCAGCCCTGCTATCTCCTGCAGCCCTTCAGTATTCTGCGTCACGCACAAGACCAGTTTGCCCTGTCTGTGAAGCTCAACAACCTCAGATTTGTCATGAGGATGGAGCCGATCCGAAATCGGAAGGGCTGGAAATCAATGGAAAAGGTACGGAAAACCCTGCTTAAAATTTTAGAGCTTTGCTTAATCTTGCCGCTCCGCGCCACTGCCTCGTGGCCTTGGTTTGGTGCAAGCTCATCCAGGCGCCAGGTCTTCAGCCACTGCCAGCCCTTCACCTTGCCACAACATACCAAAGCTCCGGACTGAAATTCTTGTATGGACCGCCGAGGCACTCGAATGTCTGGCTCGTTGAGCCATGCATCGAGGTCAACAAGCCGCTGCATGCTAGGGTCCTCAACGCAAGGAGGACAGATCGGAGAACTGTGACCAGAATTTGTTCTTTTTAACCGTCCCGCCTTGGTCCACACTCCGGATGGGCCCCGGAAGTCCGGCACCCCCGAGTCTGTCGAGATGCCAGCGCCCGTGAGGACGGCCACACCGCGCGCCTCCGTCAGCCAGCGCCTGGCCAATGCCGCCTCAGCAGGCATGCCCCCAATCTGTTTGAGGATGCAGGCCGGAATGCGTTAACGCTCTCACACGTACGAACAAACGGGAAAATGGAAAGCGGACCGAACAAACAGCAGATGCTGCAGTTGACCTTGACGTGCACAAAACAACGCAGTGCAGAAAGCAAAAGAAGCTGTGCAACACGCGTGTTCAGGGAGAGCGAGTAATGAGATGCATCATCATAAGCATTCCCCGCACTGCGGCGAGGCGCCTGTGAAGAGGTCGTGCCACTGCGGGCTTGGGAGGCTTCGGACTTTTCAGGCCCCTCGGCCCGCAAGCTGCTCATTGCTCGTGTCCTGGACACAAAATAGATAGAGAGCGGTACGAAATACGGGCCTGTGTTGTTACATATAGATCTACTCTTTTTTTAACGTATTTTACATGATTTGATATCAACTCTTGCATTTTCGTACCACTCTTGAATAGGATCCTTGTAAAGCTACAATTCTGGTCATCCTATGAACTTGAATATGGAGGCTGGAGGTTATCTTTGTCCTGCGCAATCAAACATGGATGTTAAACCATCCTGTGGGCATGGATGCTATGGTCATCGTACGCAGCCGAACATGGATGTTGTTATCCTGTTGGCCTGGATGGTCTGGTCATCGTATGAAATTGAATATGGATGCTATCTGTTTATTAATTATCCTGCGCAGTCGAACATGGATGTCTTGTGGGCATGGATACGATCGTCATTGTATACAGCCGAACATGGACTGTGGTCATTGTACGCAGTCAAACATGGATGTTATCTATCCTGTGGGCATGGATGCTATGGTCATGGTCATCGTACGCAGCCGAACATGGATATCACTCTCCTGCGCGATCGAACATGGATGTTATCCTGTGGGCATGGATGCTCTGTCATTGTATGCACTCGAACATGGACTATGGTCATTGTACGCAGCAGTTGAATATTACTAATCCTCTGGGTATGGATGCTATGGTCATCGTCTACGCAGCCGAACAGGCATGGATGCTACGGTCATTGTACGCAGCCGAACATGGATATTATTAATCAGTGCAGTTGATCATGGATGGTATTTATCCTGCGGGCATGGGAGCTATGGTTGTCGCCTACGCAGCTGAAAATGGGCGTTATTATTCTCCTGTGGGCATGGATGCTCTCGTCATCCTATGCACTTGAACATGGGCTCTTTCCCAAAGCCCCACACCAACCAGGCATCAGGCGCATCAGCTGCAACGGCTCCTTTGCAACGCCCGAAACCATCATGAGCATTAGTTGCAACGGCTCCTTCCCAATGGACGAAGCCAGCCCAGCATCATGAGCATCAGCTGCACTGGCTCTTTGCCAAAGCCAAACTGGTCCAGCATCATGAGCATCAGCTGCAACGGCTCCTTCCCAAGTGCCGAAAACAGCCCATCAGCTGCACTGGCTCTTTGCCAAAGCCCCACACTAGCCCAGCATCATGAGCATCAGCTGCACTGCGCCTTCCCAAGGGCCGAAACCAGCCCAGCATCATCAGCATCAGCTGCGCTGCTTCCCTCCCAAGGAAACCAGCCCAGCACCATGAGCATCAGCTGCACTGGCTCTTTGCCAAAGCCCCATTCTTCTAGTCCAGCATCATGAGCATTAGTTGCAACGGCTCCTTAGCATCGGCTGCACTGGCTCTTTGCCAAAGCCCCACACCAGCCCAGCATCATGAGCATCAGCTGCACTGCTTCCTTCCCAAGGAAACCAGCCCAGCATCATGAACATCAGCTGCAACGGCTCCTTCCCAAGTGCCGAAAACAGCCCAGCATCAGCTGCACTGGCTCTTTGCCAAAGCCTCACACTAGCCCAGCATCATGAGCATCAGCTGCACTGGCGCCTTCCCAAGGGCCGAAACCAGCCCAGCATCATGAGCATCAGCTGCGCTGCTTCCCTCCCAAGGAAACCGGCCCAGCACCATGAGCATCAGCTGCACTGGCTCTTTGCCAAAGCCCCATTCTTCTAGTCCAGCATCATGAGCATTAGTTGCAACGGCTCCTTCCCAACGGCCGAAACAGCCTAGCATCGGCTGCACTGGCTCTTTGCCAAAGTCCCACACCAGCCCAGCATCATGAGCATCAGCTGCACTGCTTCCTTCCCAAGGAAACCAGCCCAGCATCATGAGCATCAGCTGCACTGGCTCCTTCCCAAGGGCCGAGCCGCGCCTAGCATCATGAGCATCCGCTGCACTGCTGCTTCCCAAGGGCCGAAACCAGCATCATGAGCATCAGCTTCACTGGCTCTTTGCCAAAGCACCAAACCAGCCCAGCATCATGCAGCATCAGCTGCACTGGCTCATTCCCAAGGCCCGAAACCAGCCCAGCATCATGAGCATTAGTTGCAACGGCTCCTTCCCAATTTCCGAAGCCAGCGCCGGCTCTTTGCCAAGAACCGTAACCAGCCCAGCATCGAGCATCAGCTGCACTGGTTTTTGCC